GTAAAGAAACTTCTTTTACGATTTCATGATATACTTAAAACAAAATATGTTAAATTATATTGGATTCCAAGCCATGTAGGAATACGAGGAAATGAAAAAGTAGATGCTTTAGCTAAACAATCATTAAATTTTCAAAAAACTGACTTATTGTTACCTGCTTGTGATTTTAGACCGGCTATAAATAAACTCGTATCATCTGAATGGAAAGCAAATTGGGACAATGCCGTTTTTAATAAACTTCACGATATAAACCCATCTCTTGATATGTCACCATCTCTATCTCTGTCAAACCGCCGTGATCAAACAGTTCTTCTTCGATGCCGAATCGGACACACTAAAATTACCCACTCTTATCTCCTCACAAATGACAATGCCCCTTTCTGTGTAGGTTGTAATGAAAATTTTACTGTCAAGCATTTTCTTCTTGAATGTCATGATTTTTCACAGGCCCGTAATAGATTTTATTCTGTAAATTCACTCAAAGAACTTTTTAATACAATTCCATCAAAAAACATAATTGATTATTTAAAAGAGATAAATTTGTATTCTAGGATCTAATTGGCTCATTTCTATTGTCATTTACAATGTTTTACATAATATTTTAAGCCTATTATAGCATTCGGCACGATATGGCCAGTTCTGTGTTGACGTGCCGTAAAAATCCAAACAAACAAAACAATCCTTGTTTTTTAAAAGAAGTTCTGAACGTTTTAAAACGGTAAATTCTACGTTATTTACCTATATAGCCCATAAGAATACCATTTTGAGTAAAACGTCCACAACGGTTTAAAACGTAATTATTGAAAATCAATTAAAACCAATTATTCTCAGGAAGGGTGATTGATACTATGCTTTTCAACGTGAATTTTGTAAGTTCAACTCATTTTTGTTTCAAATAAGAGAACTGCTTACAGAAACTCCGTTTGATGTATCAATAAGTGCATTTTAAAATACTATAGTACCATTTAGAAGATTTTCTTCAATTAATTTGGATATCGATTTGATTACCACATTAATTAAAAAGTGTACTGTATATCTAAACATTTACTATATCTGTCAATAAAGGGCACTATACAATTAACATATTTGGTGTTTTTTATTTGAACAACATTTAACAGAATGAAATAAATAAAAGGTAAACTTCAAGAATTTTGTCATTTAAAACTAAATTTTGGTGGCCTTCCTACGACAAAACAGTAGTGGCTTTCAGGAAGCCAAAATTTTATACCGGTTTATTACGTTATAGCCTTCTTATGACTATAGCGCCCGGCTTTTGAGAAGTCGATTTTTCGGGACGTTATATTACGCTATGGCCGTCGAAAGGATATACAGCGTCCCTCTTCTGAAACAATAAGATATTAAATTAATCATCTATAGCAAGATTCTGAATTTACACTTACTAATAAAATACGAAGAATGCATTGCTCCAAATTCCAATTGATACACATGTTTTAGTGATTGTTTACAAAAATTGCATTTACATGAAATTAATACAACTGGTACTAAATCAGGTTCACTTCTTCTGTATTTAAAAAAACTAAGACTTTTAAAGAATAGACAGTTTATCAGGATCTGAACTTGTCCTTTCACCATTGCATGTTTCTCTTTCCCTCATGAAACAGAGGTGGAAGATTGCTGGCCTTAGTAATAATAAATATTTTGGAATAATAAAAATATGAAAATAATCAAGCTTTAGTATAATGCGTCAGTAAGATAGACATACGGTTATCCTAATGCAACTAACCCTGTGTTCAAATGTGTTGTTTTTTTGCATTGTCTAAATGTATTTAAGACTTGAGGCATATTTGGTTTAACTGACTTATAATGTAAATAATTATGTAATGTTATCGTTTTTAGCTCACCGGTCACAAAGTGACAGGGTGAGCTTTTGTGATCGCTTTTCGTCCGGCGTCCGTCCGTCCGTCGTCCGTCCGTCCGTAAACTTTTACTTTAAATGACATCTCCTCATAAACCACTAAGCCAATTTCATCCAAACTTCACAGGAATGTTCCTTTGGTGGTCACCTTTAAAAATTGTTCAAAGAATTTAATTCCATACAGAACTCTAGTTGCCATGGCAACCGAAAGAAAAAACTTTAATTATCTTCTTTTAAAAAACCCAAAGAGCTAGAGCTTTGATAATTGGCATGAAACATCTTCTAGTGAGTGTCTACCAAGTTTGTTCAAATAAAAGCCCTGGGGTAAAATTGGCCTCGCCCCAGGGGGTCATTGATTTTCCCCATATGCATATACTAGTAAATAACTTAAAAACTCTTCTTTTAAAGAACCAAAAGAGCTAGAGCTAAGATATTTAGCATGAAACATGTTCTAATGGGTGCCTACCAAGTTTTTTCAAATAAAAGCCCTGGGGTCAAAATTGGCCTCGCCCCAGGGGGTCATTGATTTTCCCTATATGTATATAGTAAAAACTTAAAAAATCTTCTTTTAAAGAACCCAAAGAGCTAGAGCTAAGAAATTTAGCATGAAACATCTTCTAATGGGTGTCTACCAAGTTTGTTCAAATAAAAGCCCTTGGGTCAAAATTGGCCCCGCCCCGGGGGTCATTGATTCTCCTTATATGTGTATAGCAAAAACTTAAAAAATCTTCTTTGAAAAAAAAAACAAAAAAGCTAGAGGTTAGATATTAAGCACGAAGCATCTTCTAGTGAGTGTCTACAAAGTTTGTTCAAATGAAAGCCCTGGGGTCAAAATTGGCCCCGCCCCCAGGGGACATTGATTTTCCTTATATGTGTATAGCAAAAACTTAAATTTCTTCTTTGAAAAAAAAACCAAATAGCTAGAGTTAAGATATAAAGCATGAAACATCTTCTAGTAAGTGTCTACAAAGTTTGTTCAAATAAAAGCCCTGGGGTCAAAATTGGCCCACCCCGGGGGTCATTGATTTTCCTTATATGTGTAAAGCAAAAACTTTAAAATCTTCTTTGAAAAATCCGAATAGCTAGAGTTCAGATATTAAGCATGAAACATTTTCTAGTAAGTGTCTACAAAAATTGCCCAAATAAAAGCCCTTGGCTCCAAACTGGCCCTGCCCCAGGTGTGTCATTGTTTTTAACTATATGTGTAAAGAAAAACCTTGACCAGCTGGACCTTAGATGTTCAGCATGAAACATCTTCTAATGGATGTCTACCAAGTTTGTTCAAATAAAAGCCATTGGGTTTAAACTGGCCCCGCTACGTGGGCTTATATACAGGTGAGCGACTTCAGGGCCATCATGGACCTCTTGTTAAGAAATGGCATCCACAATCGCGAATGTGTCTTTGAAAATGCAGTCTCCATGATCCCTTTGTGGAAGAGGGTGAAAACCAAAAGATATTCAGTTTGGATAGTGGAAACAAAGTTAAAAGTGCATCCAAACAAATGTTGATTAGTGAAAATGCAATAGGCCCAAAATGTAAATATATGTGTGAAAAATGCGTAACTCATTTTGAAAAAGAAGTTCCCAAATGCACAATAAGTGATGAAGTCAACTTGTTTATTGAAGGATTAAACACTAATAAATATAAAAACAGTGAACAAGAATTAATTGCTTGTGCATTAGGTAGAAACATCTCATGTACACAGGCAAGACCAACTGTACAATATGGCCATGTTTTGAATGAAAATGATATTGTGAATGAAACAAACAAATATGACAGTAGACTGGTTAATTTCTTGAATGGATTATGTCAGAAAAGTAAAAATGCAAAAGCAAAAATTCTTTTCATTCTTGAAAACTTATATTCTCTTAAAGACAGTAATTATGTTGGACATTTATCATTCATCAAAAATCTACTAATGTACTACATTACAGGGAGCAGAGCTATTGTAGATTTAAATTAATGCAATTTCACCATCAGGGTCATACCAAACAATTTGCTCTTTTCTTGAAAGAAGTTGTACAGAAAGTCTCATAGAAATTCCTAATGTTGATGGTGTTTTCTCCTTTGACAACAACCAACTTTAAGCAAAAATATGGAATATTGTATATGACTGCAAGGCATCACTGAGTGCAGTGACAACATTATTGTTCATGGTGCCAACAGTTGAAAGTACAATTCAGTACAACCCATCATTTTCCCCATATCTTTGGCTTAATGGGTTTGAAGACTTTAATTTATTAAATGATCAGAAACATCTTGATGATTACTTTAGACAATATAGAAATGATTTTATTGGGTCTGTTCTTAAAGAGGTATATGAAGAACAGTTTTTAGAAAATGGTATAGCTACAGACAAAGTAGACAAAATAAAGGCTGGTGAATTTGTTTGTTTGTTTGTTTGTTTCATTTTACGCCTTTTCCCAACGGTATTTCAGTCATATAGGCGGGTAGTTTCCTAACCATTGTTCATGGAGAGTTACACCAGTACTAGACTACCTTCCTCCGCGCTAAACTACCAAAGCATCTCCCGGGGATCGAACCCACGCAAGAGAGGTAACTGGATTAGAAGTCATCGACTCTAACCCCTCGACCACGGAGGCGGTTAAGGCTGGTGAAAGTATATCTTCAAGTATTCATAATGCTCATCATAAAGTAGCAGTTTCAACATCTAATGGTGGTATTACATTCAAACCAGTTCACAAGAACCCTTACTCTGGGGTGTCTTGTAATGTTGAAGGGAAGTGTGAAATTCACTTATTAGATCCAATTTTTAAAAATCCCTGCTCATTTAGTGCAGTCAGTGAAGTATTTGATGAGATTTTAGATAAACATTTAGGAGATAGAGAATGATTGGCATTGGGTTGCGATGGATTACCATACATACTTGGATCTAAAATTATCCAAAACAACTTCATCTGTCCAATTTGTAAAATGTCCTTTAATTCAAAAAAGAAATTTATAGATCACACTGAAAGTCATGATGGTGAAATAGATATAAACTCATGTAAAAAATATGGAAAAATATTATTTGTTCCTGGACTTGGACATTATGAAATAAACTATACAAAAGCATTATTTAAATTACTTTGGTATATCCTTTTGTGTTCTTTGGCAAAATTAATGGGTTTTAAGTCACCAAAGGCAATACAAAATTGCCATAAGTCTTGGCAACTGCTGGTCATCATTTTAAAAGGTAATGCCAAAGAACTAGTTGTATCATATGTAAGACATTGTTTACCTAAAAGACAAATTCCAAATGTAGAATCCTTCTTCAAATTTATACAAACATGTGGTCCAAACTTTGTTTTTATGTATAAGTGTACCTTTACCTTTCTGCTGGCATTGAAACTATTTAGATCTGGTGTAAGAAATTGTGACCATGAAGCCAATCAGTGTGCCATAAATGAGCTTTCAAGCCTTTTTAATGGACTAAACATGACAACATACATGGAGATTGATTTAAGAAGAAGATTCGTCGAAAGCAAATGCCCTGACATTTTAAAATCATTGTATGAAAATCTTACTTGTATGTCAAGATCTGGACATAATGGCAAAGCTGAAGGTTGTGACTTCATTTTAGAAGCCTTTAATAGAAAGGTTAAAAAGTTTATGCCACCTGGGCCAGCAACAACCAAGAGATGGCTTAGGGCATATAGAAACCTGCCATTATTGGAAAAGGTAATTGACTTTTAAAGCAATAAGTACAATTAAATCATATCAAATTGATATTATTATCAAATATCATATTACATAATAAAGAATTAATAAATGTTTGAGTAAATATTGATAACATTTTCAAAAATATTATAGCACTAACATCATATGTTTTAAAAAAATCAACAATATCCAAAATATATTCAATACAAAAAATTGCATCTTTATTTGTAATATAACAATAATATATCATATTTAAACAATAGATCATTCTTTTTCAGATAAAACAAAGTTTAGGCTTAGATTTCTTCAATGACACTTCAGAAAGTGAAGGATTTAGGTAGTTAATTTTTTCATATGTATTAGTATACATATATTTATAATATCACTCTTTATAAAAAAGTCTCATAAATATATTTAATATTATTTAAGAATGATTACAAATTCATGATTGATTGTTATAAAAAGTTATTTTAAGTACTATTCATTTATAAAAAATATAACAATGAGTGTAAAAAAAATTAAATAATAATTTTCTTTATAGAAATATATGTAATGAAACTGACATTAACCAATGGAGAAAAAAGATCCGAGAAACAAAATATCTATTGGATGATGGTGAGATTATTTTAAAATGATACATTTTTGAATGACATATGTCACATGAAACAATGTAAATATATATTTTTTAAGAGATATAAAAAAATATTAACACATTGTGTAGGGTATTTATGAATAATATTTTTTAGGTAATAAGCATAAACATATTTTAAATATATAATGTGTATTTTTTTCCAATAACTTTAAATAAATAATATTGCTGATTAATATATATTTTAGACATACACAAATCAATGGAAGGAGAAGTATTGGACCCTGAGCCGGTAACATTTGATGCAAAATGTCAAGAGAATATAATGAAGTATAAATGATATTTATGAAATAAATAAAGCAAGTTATATTACCCTAAGAATTAAATTTAATTCAAATTTGATAACATTAATTCCTAGTCATTACATTAAATGTATCAGAAAAAACAGTTCAATATTTTTTTAACTTAAAAGTAATGATAATTCAACAATTTTTTATAACACATGAATTAGTTTCAAGATATTTTCTGTTCAATGATAATGTTACCAAGTATTTAAATCTGTTTATAGGTACTGTGAAAATTTTCATGCTCATTTTAAACGTGAAAACATATTCATAACACCATCAGACAGGTAAAATGATCAATATAAATCATTATTTAAATAATCAATTATCATTTACCTATTATAAAAAAAATATCTAATATATAATAACAAAAGCATTTTAGAACCTGTTCTTAAATGTATATGAATTTAAATTTTTTGGCCAAAAATTATTGTAGAAATAAACTTTAATTATAAATATTATATACTATATTTAGATCTAAATTCAATGACATATCTTCAAAAACAAAGAAAGAAGTTGGAGATTGCATTGAAAGGGCAATGTCAGCAATCATGCAATATGACTGTAATGACATTGCTGAGCATTTCAAAGATTTATGGAAAGAAGTAAAGAAGGGAAAGAAAACTGACTACCTAGAATTTTACAAAGATTTATGCCAAGTTTTAGATGAAATCAAAGCTATTGATGAAAAAAATGAAGAAGGTACATATGTGTTTATCAAATTAAATTTATAATATAATATATGTCTGTTTAATAAAGGTTTTGCAAAATATATGGGTTTATGCTGGGAGCAGTACCAGTCAACTTTGTCAAAAGTTGCTTCTGTGCACCCAACAAAACCCATACATTTTACATGACACCAATATGTACAGTTACTGGTACTGCAGCCTAACCAAACCTCTACTTTATTTTCTGTGTCAGTTTTCTTGCAGAGCTTACATTGGTCCTCAATACTGGATTCTTCATAATTATTGTTTTCGTCTGGTTGGACTTCTTGTTTCTTTTTACATTTGTTGTCATTACATCTTTCTTTGCAAATTTTGCTTTTGCTTTTCTTCTCTAGCTCAAAGCGTGGAGACAGAGGAGTTTGAGGAAGGACAGTTTTTGGAGGAGCAGCAGATGGCAGTTGAGGGTCTACAGAGGGTAGATGATTGTCAGGGCATGGAGTTTTGACAGCATTTTGTAGTTCAGCACCACTCTTACACTTTTTCTCTTTACATGTACCCTCTTTCTTGGATTCCTTTGTCTGTAAGAATTGAAACATGATTACAAATATTAATTAGATTTAGATTTTTTAATGTGTTTAAGTTAAATTGGTTTGGAATATATGTTTTATGATACAATTTAAGCTACATGTTTTGTTTAAAATTATGTTTACTATACATTAATTTTATAGAAACCAATATCTATCTCTTTTCCAGTTAAATTTCTACTGTGGACCTTAACTTTAAAGGTAATGTGTAACACATTGACTACATTACATTCCATATAATGTAAATGTATAATTAATAATCCCCATAAAAATATATAATATAAATATTTTATCACAGTTTATATCAATATTTTGTTTTAAGATTTATTCATTACCTTTGGATCCAAACTCAGAAGAGTTCCTTTCCACTTGATTTCAATTCTAACTTCGGCACCACAAACCGCTGCCAAGGCCATTGCCTTAAATACATTAATAAGAATTATATTTGATTAACATTTGACTTTGTAATTTTTTTTTATTAAGCAATGTACCTTATATCAATATGCGGTCCCTGTAATACGTAAGAAATAGTCATTATTCATTTATATTACAAATACGCATAGATTATCATGGTAAATTATACATCAAGATTATATTCTGAAACACATATGCAAAATGTTTATATAAAAAAATTGGACATGATCATATATAATTACCTTCTTAAACACAGTATTTTTTCTATTAGAAAAAATCTGTGTTTTCTTTTTGTCATCACTTTCATATGACTTGGTGTTGATAGGCCCTACATGGTGGTTTTGCAAGGCCTTTTCTGGTTTCATGCGCCTGTGGTTTGTTTTTCTTTTCTTCTTTTCTACGTACTCTATCACCTTATAAATCAATTGGAAAGTATATTATATAGATAATTATTAAATGCAAAAACTAATTTTCTTTCATTGTTTATTCTTGTTTAGAAAATAAAACTTCAAACTATACAAATTGAATGTGAATTAATTTCGACTTCAACTGCTTAACCTCATCTAAAATTTCCGTAGCCCATGGCGGTGTTGTCATCGATAACATATTTGGCATAGAAAAACCGTAGTGTGTATGTGACGTGCTCTGCACGGGGAACGGGTTTTGGTGTGTAAATGACATATCTGGATAATCTGATAAACTGCTACTTACTGTATTTCTTATTACTCTTTTTTTCTTTCGTTTATGTGTAAATGATTGACCGTTACTATATCCAATATTGAATGTCCCATTTAGCGAATTATCAAAGTCAGTGCGATATATGCCCGTGCAATCGGCCACGCCTTCACTGAGTGGTGAATTCGCAGGTCGCTTTTTGTTTTTCGTTTCTAAATCACTATTTTTGATTTTTGAGTTCTTTTCCGCTTGTGACATTTGTTCCCTCTATTCATAGTTACTTATTTTAAAAAAAAAATCCAAAATATAATTCTTATAATCCACAATAAATCCAAATTTTTGATGGTAAAGTCCAAAACACGTTTTCACCTGCCAAACGGTATAACGGTACTCAGTAATCAGTAATGTTTGTAAGCAACAAAAATGTAAATTAAATTTGCAGTACCAATATGATCTTGTTTTAAGAGATATTTTGTTTACATATACATGTATAAAAAAAGAAAATTAGAAAAAAACACACACAAAAGACGACGTGCCATAAATTGCCATTTTCTTAATTTCAAAAGTATATAGTGAATAGTATAACAATAAACTGATTATATTAAATCAAGTAGTTATGTACTTGCATAAAATAATATAAACTGAGTATAAAAGTAATACAAATATAAATTGGACTTGGTATGAGTGTCATCGCGATGTTTTGAACAATTATTCCAAAACGCTAGTGTTGTCATGTGTTTTCATTGTTAGTGCCAATTTTATAATACTCACTCATGATTATGTGTACATGTTATATTTACATTTATATGTTCATTGAATTAAACGTACACATATTTTGCCAGCTCAATTAATGTTGCTGTATTCACTTAGTGTATACATTGATATGTTCTCAATTAATTTTCTCGCATTTTTGCCCGATAATTGGCCAATTATCACATATAGTTTTCTTCCAGAAATCACATAATAGTTTTTTGATATTTGTGTTCATGTCCGGGGATACGGTTACAAGCAAACTGTTATAATCTCTAAATAACAAAGCAAACACAGACCATTTTGTTACTGTAAAAACACAGTAATGATTTTTACAAGACTAATATTGTAAAATACCACTACTTCATTGTTGATAAAGTACTATAGGAAATAAAGAAAAACGAAATCCTTAAAAACGACCAAGACGGCAAAATAAAATATGTTGCTGGCTCGAATAAACTAAGCCTGTGCATGGTCGGTACTTGAACGTACGAGCTAAAGCAGAATTGATCATTTAAACATAGAAATCGTGAATTTATACAGATATCATTAACTGGACACAGTCAAACATCAAATTGTCGCATGATCACTTATATGATTAGCTCATTTATGCCATATAATTAAAGTTGTAAACATACAAGAGTCATAAATTATTTTGTCAAGTCCGACGAAAATATTTCTGTCCGCTTAGCCTAAAAGCGAGAGCATCAAATTTGTAATCTTGGGATTGCTGATTCGATTCTCGGACGGGGCGTAATTTCTCACGGACATTGAGTCTTTTGGTCACATGTCTGTTACCGTTAATTAAGACATATTTGTGGTATTTTGGTTTGATAACTTGCCGAGAATTTAATTTGTTATTTACTGGTTAGTTATCAAGGAAAGCCGGTCAGGTTGACAGTAAGATATGACGGACAAATGTATGAAAACTTAAAGTAGGTGTAAAACAGAAAAACAAACCAATAATAACAGTGTCTGCTATTGTCGAAATGCATCTTTAACTGAAACATGATAACATGTATTTATAAAATACATTAAATTGCTTCTGTAGTATATTTGAATGAATAGCCATATCTTATTTAATGAAGTTGTTTACATTTATTAGAACTTTAAAACATAATATTGTTCGGGGATAACCAATTCTGTTTTCCTTGTAACTAATAATGTTGTTAAATCTGTTTTACATTCATTTTCAGTCTAGACATCCTATTGTCCTATTTACTGATACTCGTTTAATTACTATTCTAGAATCAAAATCAAATCTTTAACAAGAACCTTTAATGTAAACAGTAACTCATATATTACCTCTCCTCAATATTATCACCTAAGTCTGTTATATATGTTATGGTATATATATTTTGTAAAGTCCAACATAAGTTTTACTCATTATTGTTGAATGAAATCATTTAATTTCTGATGTAAATGCATCACATACTAGTAATAACCTACAGGTACCGGTGTACTTCGTTTTCAATTAAGTTCTTTTGTTTGTT